CCCGCGCTGCCCGGCGGCCCCGGCCGCGCCCCGCGCCCCCTCCCCGCCCGCCGCCTCCTCCCCGCCCGCCGCCGCCGCCCGGCCCCTCCCGCCCGTACCTGCAGAGGCGGCGACGCCGCGGGCGCTGCTGCGGAGCCGGAGGGCGGCGGCGGCTCCGGGGGAAGGGGGGTAGGGAGGGCGCCGCTGCCTCCTCCCCGTCGCCGTCCCCGACCCCCGCCGGGCGCGGCGCTCCCTGCGGCCCGGTGTCCCCCGGGGGCGGGAGGAGGCGGCTCCGGCCGCGGGCGCGGCGGCTACATGGAGCGGCGGCCGCTAGGCTGGGAGGCGCCCTGGCGGGCAGCGCGGCCGCGGCATCGGGGCGGGGGTCAGGAGGGCGGCGGCGGCGGCTCTCCCCGGCGCACTCACCCCGGAGCCGCCCGGGCCCCGCTCTCGGCTCCTCCCGCCGCCTCCGCCGGGCTCGTTATTGACTTTCAGGAAAACTCCCGACGTCACCGGCTCCCCCCGAGTGTCTCCCCCTCCGCGGCGGCGGCGGCGGCGGCGGCATCCCCAGCTCTCGCGAGAAGCGCGTCGGGGACGGGGGGGGGCCGCCAGACAGCGAGGGGGGAGCCAGACAGAGGGGGGCGGCTGAGGTGAGGGTGGGGGAGGCGCCGGGTCCGCGGCCGGCGGCAGGGAGGGAGGAGGAGGGATGCGGAGTGCCGGGCCGGCGGCGGGGCTCGAGGGGAGCCGAGCTGGAGCGCGGAGCCCTCCGACGCGGACTCGCGACGACGCCCGGCCCCGCGCTGCCGTTGCGGGATGCGGGACGGCCACCCCTCACGAGCCGCAGGGCGGGCGCTCCGGGAACGGCACGCGACCCGCGGGCTCGGAGGGAGCCCGACGCCGAGGGATGCTGCCCGGCGCCGGGGCTCCGCGATACCCGTTGCTGCGGCGAGCGGTGGGGAGAGCGCGGCTTGGATGCGGCTGCGGGGTGCTGAGCGCGGCACCGCGCTGCTGCAGTTCCGTCCGGGCGTGGGGCTGCCCCGGCTGCTCCCGGCATCACCGCTGAGTGGGAGCGCGTGTGCCTGCACGCACCTGGGCTCGGTGCGCAGCAGCGCGCGTTCTGTCAGTCTGCGCTTGAAGTGATACGCTCACGTTAATGTTCTGCGCAATGGCATCTCGCAGCTGACCCTGACTTGTGTCCGAACCTGTACGTGCAGAGGGAGCGGTCTGTAGAGTACAGCTGTCTGCCCCGTTACGTGTGCGGGGTTCCTAAAAATCGATAGGAAGGCATTAAAAAAATAAATTCTGCCCCTTTCCCTCCTCTCCCTCCCCCCCCCAAAAAAAAAAAAAAAAAAAAGAAAAAAAAAAAACTTTATATATATGTATATATATATATATATATTAGGTTATATGTATATATAAAAAATAAAACAACCCAGACTATTTCCTTAGGATGTATGTACCCCATATTTGTTTCTCGAGAGTCCCTCCCACATCCTTCCTTTCTCTGTGACCATTTCAAACATCAGACCTTTCCCTTCTCGCTGCGGGGCTGCATTTGGGAGCCTCCCAAGGGCCAGAATCACAGAATCACAGAATTGTAGGGGTTGGAAGGGACCTCCAGAGATCATCGAGTCCCGGGTCATCTGATACTCCCAGAGTCATCTGTCCCGGGGCGGTGAGGCCGCTCCCCCGCACCGCGAATCCCGTTCATCAGTCTGCCCTCAGAGCCCTGAAGTTTGCTCGCCCTCCAGTTAAAACAGGCTGCAGCCTAAACTCTCAATTCTGAAGAAAAGCAAAATTTTTTACGTATTTGGTTAATATAGCTATCTGGGGGGGAGGAGGGGGGTTATTAAAAGTACACTGCTAAAAGTGCATTGCCGAGTATTATTTCCTTCCCCTGATTTTACAGCTCAGTCTTCCTCTTTCCTCAAAGCACCACTAAAGCAAGCATCAGCTATCGGTATTTACATACAGCCGCGTTGTCAGGTATGGACACACACCTCGACATTCAAAACGAAAGGGGTGAATCTGGGAAGTGCCCTCAGTGCGCCGCAGAGGACCCGGGCCCTGGGGCAGCTGGGGTACCTGCTGTCCAGCAGCACAGAAGCTGGTGCTGCGTTGCTGCTCTTCTGTTGCTTGCCACAAACAACGACAGATTTCCTATTGGTAAAGGGCATTTGTGTGGCTGATAACCCTGGCTCATCCTGGAAGTTTCAAAGAGCTTCCCTGGAGATAGGTGTCTTATGATGATAGAAAGTTTGCTTGAATATGTAAGTATATATACTTGGTGTACATTGCTGAGAAAACATCTGGCACACAAATCATCTAAAAAAGAAAAAATGATAATTTAAAAAAACAAAACAAAACAAAAAAAAACCCTGCTCATTGCTTATGATAAGGGGAAATGGCTTCAACTTGAGGGAGGGAAGATTTAGGTTGGATGTCGGGGAAGTTCTTTACTATGAGAGTGGTGAGGTGCTGGAACAGGCTGCCCAGAGAGGTTATGGATGCCCCATCCCTGGAGATGTTCCAGGCCAGAGTGGATGGGGCCCTGGGCAGCCTGGTCTAGTATTAAATGGGGAGGTTGGTGGCCCTGCATGCGGCAGGGGGGTTGGAGATTCATAGTCCCTTCCAACCTGGGCCATTCTGTGATATGTTAGAGAGTATAACACTTACCCTACCACATTAGTCCCAGAAATCAGTGTCACTGCTCTGTTTGGAAATTGTGAGCCTAGCCTTACCTGTATTTCTGTACACATGGTTAAATATGTTATAGAAATAAATGCTGCTGTGCAGCAAAATACAGTTTGTATTTTCTCTTTTCTTAAAGCACATAGCCATTTCATTGCTTAGTATCATGCTCCAGGACATCAGAATGATTTCTTGCAAAGAGCCAATTGCCATAAGGTTGGCAGTGGTCACTCTGCATTAATATCCAAACGGGGACGTAGCTGTCCCAGACATAACATGGCTGTGCTGTATGTATTGTGAATATTGTGAGCTTGCCAGCTCTGTACAAATTACATCGTTTTCAGATTAATTACTGTATGGCATGAATTTAACAAACATACTTACAAACATGCTAACAAAGAAAACACTGCAGTTCACAAGTTAAGGGCAATCAGCGTACATGTAAGGACAGGAGAGAGCTGGAGCTCAGAACTTATGTGCTCCAAATGCAGCATCATGAGTCAAACTGGATAAACCCTGTTTTTGTCATCCATACTGGCACCACCAATAAGGTTTATAGATTTCTATTTCATTGCTGGTCAACATGATTTCAACAGAAACCAAATGGGAAAGTTGCATACAATCTCTGGAAGTTCTGTCCTGAGGCAAAAAAAAGGCTGTTCCTCATGCTTCACCTAACGTGCTTCTATTAGTGTTGTCACCACCAGAGTGATGGGATCGAAGGGAATGGGCATACAAATCCTGCAAATAAATAGTAAGCGGGAGAAGAACAGACTGCCTGCAGAGCACTGCTTCTCTGCCTCTGTGCATTGCATCACCTTTCATTTCCTTCTTTTTTCCTCATGTCAGCTAATAAGCTTGCATCCATGTAAAAGTCTGTGTTAAAAACAACTTACCCTGTAGAGCAGTGATTTTTCAGAAAAAAAAGGGGGGAAGAAAAAAAAACAGCAGATAAGATGGCCATCTCTGACTTTCAAGGCAGCTCTCTGTTGCCTTGAAAAGCACACTGATATCAGACAAAAGGGCAACAAAATCTGCTGTGAATGAAGTTGTGCTTAAAAGATATCCTATATGTTTAATTGTAGTGGCTCTAACATGTCGTCTGCAGAAGTCATGGCTTAAGTTTTTTGTGTATTTGTAGTTCTTAAAGAGCCAATACATGTGCTAGTGAGCATAAGTTCCTCCATTGTGAGGGGAGAACACGTTCACCTTCTCTTGAGCTGTGACAGTTTTCTGTGTTGCCTCAGGGCTCTAACCACTTCTACCCAAATCCTAGCCAGCTCCGTGACAATTAGATTCCTCACGGCCAAGGAGAGTTCGTTATAAAGCTGCAGCATTTAGATAAGATGCTGGGAAAAGTCTGCACAGAGGGTGCTGCAATCCATGGGATGCTGGGAGAAAACCAAATTACACACGTCCAGTTGAATTCTAAAGTGTCCTTTTCTCCTTTCTATCACATTCACTTATAAATAACTTGATTGCCTGGAAGCAGGAGTTGGAGTCACTGATCCTTACAGGTCCATTCCAACTCAGGACATTCTATGACTCATTGAATCTCTCTCTTTATGCTCTGACTCCCAGTGGACTTCTTATTGGTGCTTCTGTCTCTGAAGCGACCTTAGAGGGCCCTATCCCACTGCTTTTTGTAAACTTTCATCAGTTTCTACTCCTTCTCCCTTAATATTTGTGTTGTTTGTGTAAAACAAACAAGCAAACAACACCTTAAATCTCATTCATTTATTTCTCATATATGAAACGTTGTAAAGGAAACCCTACAGACTAGGTTTTGCCTTCACAATCCCCATTTTGCCTTACGCTCCACCAGCTCCATGAGGCTGGCCTTCAGCGTCAGCTGCCAAGCACCTGAGCTGGCCCATGGCTTCACACCATGTTGGGAAGTTGTCTGCCCACAGAAGTTTCTGCTTTCCAGAGGGTCCCAGTGCTTACCAAAGATATCCAGATATGAACTCCAGTTATTATTATTTTAGACCTGCCGGGTGTAGGCTATCTGCGAATATGCAACAAAACCATACAGCAATAAAGGAATTATTATTCTGTCCACCTATGTTTTGCCAAACAGCACTGTAATTATGCTGAGCACATTAGAGAGAGACTTTAGATAAAGGACTGTGTAAATATCAGTTGATAGCATTTATTTTACAGCGTGTTATTATTGCTTTATAATTTATCCTCCAAAGATCTGGAAACGTGTTTCCCTTCCCTTTCTTTCCTGTACTCCCACACACTGCTGCTTTGCAAACACAGAGGAAGGCACATGCCCTGCCCTGACGCCCTTACCCGACTTTGAAACGAGATATGACAGTAAGTATGACAAACAGCAGGAGGGAAGGATGGGAAGAGGGCAGCAAGACTACGCACTTGCACAGTTTAGCTATATGCTTAATATGATGTATAGGCCTTCAGCTGAACTTGGAAATTTTTCCTCGGTGAGAAAATAGTTACCATGGTGTACGGATTTATCTGAGGGAGGTCAATCTACTACAGAAGCAAGCTGAAGAAAAATAAAATGCCAGCCTTTCTGCCCGAGCTTTTTTTCCTCCCTCTCTTTCCTATTCTATTTTAATTTCATCAGCACAGATAAATGTCTTTGAATAAAATTCTTCAATTACCAGTGTACAGCAATTTCTAAAGCAGAGCCCAGTCTGTGTCCTGATCTCACTTAGCTGAAGTCAATGAGAAAATGCCAGTTGATGCTGGTTGGAAGGATCAAGTCTGTAGTGCATGAGCAAAATCAAGGACTATAAAGATTAGTGAGGAGAGGGACAGAATTTTAAACAGATGTCTTCACTTCAGAGGTCTGTGAGTTTTCTCCATGTGATCCTGGGAGGGTCATGGCTGCCCGGAGTTCGAAAGAAGTAAGGAGAAAGCTACCCGCTAAGGGAGGAAAGGAAGCCACCTACTGCCCAGCTGAGTCCAAATCTTCTCCTCTTTAGAACTTTCTCTGGCAGCTACCTGGGTTGTTAGTGGTAAAGCATCCCTTATCTTTTGAGTGTGTTACTTTGAGCACCTTTGTTTGCCCCTGGACACCATGCAGGCTTCTCCATGCGATTCTCTGGATTTCTTCCCTGATACATCCACCACCTGGCTTGAAGCTGAGGAAGTCCTCCATGTTTTTGGTCTGTAAGAGAGTGGCTGAAGCACAAGGAGATTCTGTTAGTGTCAACAATAAAAGTACTCCTCTTGTTCTGAGCAAACTGTTGGCTACACTCATTGCCAGATGCTGCCTTGCTGCATTCCCCATCAGAGCACCTGCATTTTCCAGAAACTAAACTATGATATGAAATTAAAGAATTAGTACAGAAGCTTAGAAGACAAAGACAGATTGGGGTTGCAATAACAAGGACTTTCTCAGATCTGATAAATGTGTTCTTGTTAATAATGAAATATAACGATATACTAAAATATTAATGGTGCATTCATTAATAGTCTTCAAAACTGAAGGACAGACTGCCTCGAACACTTCAGTTGCCTTACAGTAGTTGGCTCGTTTAACTGTATGTATATCTGCTTTGTACAATGGAGAGCTAAGAAAAAGATAAGGATGAATCTGGCCCTTTATAAATACCTTTTGTATACAGGAGTCTCAAATGAAGTAAGGGAATGTCTACTGTAAGATTTTCTGCCAAAATCGTTAGCAATCTGTTTAGTAAAACTTCACGATAGCAGAAGTCTGATCAATTATTGACCTCTTCTTAACTTTATTTACCATGAAATGAATAAAAAAGAAAAAGAATGTTAGCTAAGAATGGCAAGTTGTAGCTAAGTGCAAGAAACAAAAGTATTCATCCATCTTCTCATAATGCCAAGATTTGAACAGGGTGCTCCTGAGCAGATGGTTTAACAGACTAAAGCATTAGTTTGCTGATCCTCCATGCTTGCTAATTAATTCTTCAGTTTACTAGGTTTTAAGATGATTGTTAAAAACAAAGCTTCTCCTAAAATAAACTTTAGGTATATGTTATAAAGTGGTAGTTAATATCATAATGGATGTAACAAAAAAATTGTGCATTTTCCAGAAAAGACCTTAATTATCTTAAGTCCTAAGTATTTCCTGAACAATTCTGCCTCTGAAACTGTCTTCTTTTAAGAATTTGCTTTTGTTTTCCAAGCTAATTAATCCTCTGCCTTCCTGTTGACATCGTTGAATCTACATTCTGTCCTTGACTTCTGTGATAATGACATATACATTAACATGCAGAGGATCTAATCTTTTATAACAAAGTTCTCTCCTCCCCCTGAATTGTTTTAAGACCATTAACACCCAAAATGTAAAAAGTCAATGGTGTCTGTATTGTTTCTAAAGCCACTGTAATTCTAGCCAGCTATGATTTCTTGTAGTAATTAATTTCAGGTTAACGATACTAAAAGTGAATTCCCATTGTATACATTAAGATACAGAACTGTAGGATATTTTGCTGTTTTTTTCTGATTAATACAGAAGGCAAATCATTCATTTAATTCAGGTTTCATTTTTATAGCAGTTTTATAAACTGGACAAGCAGTTGAAGACAGCAGAACTCTACCCAGAGGAAATTACTGAATGTATACCACAGAGATAAAAAGAAAATCAAACAAAAATAGGTGATACAATATTATTTTGCAAAGTACTAAGTAGGAAGAAAGCAAAATAGTAGGAAAACAAGATTTTCACTAACAAAAGCTAAGTCATAAACTTTGAAGGCATGTCTCTTGTTGCTTGCAAAGGAGTGGTCCACTTTCAGCTAGGGGACTCAGAATTTGTGTCCTGTTGACTCATGAGGGCCTAAAAGAAACTCATTTCCATTGGTCCTGCTTTTCCAGAGAAATTTCGCAGTTGATTTTCTTGTTGTGTTTTGTTATGACTGTGTTTGTGTGTGCAGTGTGATATCTTTCTTTGTGGCTCAGATTTACCGGTTAGAATTCAGAGTTGTCTGTTATCTCTGTAACTGTTTATGCTGTCAGAAATATTACTGATTGTTTGTTATGTTAAAAACTCTTAGCAGTTCCCCTTTCAGAACGACTGATAAGACTTCATTGCTATTGTACAGAATTCATGACTTCTCTCATTCTATAATCTATCCATCTTGTAAACCAAGAAAAAGCTATTACTATAGATGATTCAAGGATGAACTTCCTAGTAAGCTGTCAGCGTGTTGTCTTCATAGTATTAGTCTTCAGGAATTTTGAAACGGTTTTAATATATCCTTAACAGGCAATCTATTGTGTGGCCACTAAGGAAATAACCTATGTATTTACATGACATCTGGATTGAAATGAAAGTGGCACAATAAGTGGTTCAAACTGAATTAATACTAGTAAATTCAAAGCTTTATTTTCAGTAATTTTATCTAGATGGTTAGCTTGTATTAAAACTGTCCCAGAATTCTATGTCCAACCAGTGCTCATCTTTTAAATGCTCAGAGAATTGAAAGGAATTTAAAAACAAATGCTCTGATGTTGAAATTTTACTTTACAGTGAAAGATTATAGTCTGATCTCTTCCACAAAGGAAGAATTAAGACTGCAGTGTGATTCCATGGTAGGTAGAACGTGTTTTCCGTGTAAGAAGTTATGGTAGAGTAATTTGACTATTCTATGGAGTAATCTGTAATTCAACATGAAATGCAAAGGTCTTTTTTGTGGGTCTACGAGAGGATCTGAATTAAAAAAAAAGTAAATAAAACTGAAAACAGAAAAACTCAAAACAAATAAATTACAGTGTTATCAGTGAGGATTAATAAATCTTGAAACAGAATTAAATTGTTATGATTTAAGCAGCATGTGCTAGATTCTGTTACATTAGATTCCAGTTGAGTACACTAGTCTAGCTAATCTGACATTGTCTTGATTAAGAAGTTAGGAACTTGCTGAGGCTTGCGATTAGCTTGACAGTCAAGATTTGCTAATCACAGTATTCTTTCTCAATCCTAGAATCTGAGCTTACGAAAACTCCTTTTCTTTCCTTTCCCTTCTGACTTCCTCACTGTGTCCACCTTGCACATGGTAGCCCAGCTGGTAGCCATGCATAGAATCACAGAATGGCCCTGGTTGGAAGAGACTTCAAGGATCACAAGTCTCCAACACACCCTGCCACAGGCAGGGTCATCAACATCCACATTTAATACTAGACCAGGCTGCTCAGACCGGGCCATGAAAACACTACTAGGGACAGGGCAGATAGATACACACATAGGTAGCCACTGAGTTCATATTTAAGAATTTGCCAGATAGAAATGAGAGCCTTCTCACTCAGTGACAAATTCTTTTGAAAATTTTAGGAACTGACCATCTTTGAGGCTTTCACCTCTGTTTTAAGTATAGCTGGAAGAACGAATATAAATAAAACATTATTGGAAGAGAAAGGACAGACAGGTAAATGGGCATAAAAACAGACGTTTTGAGAATTTTAACAGTCACCTGGCAGTTAAGTTGCCCTTTTGAAACTGTTTAAATATACTAAATGTCATCTTACTTACAAATCAAATCCAGCCTTCTCTGAGTTGAACAAGATAGCTCGCTTTACTGCACACAGTAATGCTAAGATGGTTTCTGGAAAAAAAATAAAGAAACACAACATTATAGAAGAGCGTTATATTTAGAACCCTGTGAATATTTAGGGAGTCAAAATCTGATTGCCAACCTTGATCCACAAATCTAAAATGCACATATGGTTGATATTTTTCTATTACATAGCATGTATTTCTGGAAGCCTCATCACTTTTGTCCCTTTTTGATCTGAAAAACATTTTTGGCACAGCCTTAAGATGAAATTTCAAATGAACGTAAAGCATTTATCTCCGTTTGCTAGCCAACAGGGCCAGCTATCAGTAGGCGGTCTGGCTGCGCTATTTCCTTATGGATTAGTATTACAGGATTGTAATTATAGTAAATCTTTTTACTTCGTAACAACAACAAAAAAAGATATTGTGAGTTGAGAAAGTTGCTTTGTACCATATTTTTGTTACAGTTGTATATTTGACAGTGATTTTTTAATCACAGTTAATTATAAATGATTCATCAGAATGTTTAAAGCCCCACAGAAATGTTTAAATAACTCACGGCTCTTATTGCACTGTAGTGCTTTAAAATATTACACTCACCTTAAAACTAAGGAGTAAATTCAATTAACACTACTGTTGTTCTTACCTTCCTGAAGTAACTCATAAGATGATTACTTCAAATCATCTACAAAACATAGCATTAACAGTACTCATCTGGAATGTAGTTTCATAGGATTTCTATCTTTTATATTGTTCTCAAGCTATTCCTTTCTGTCTTTCCTTTGTGCAAGCCAGTTTCATGCAAAAGGCCTGCCACTGTCAACAGCTTTTTATTTTCTGCTTTCCAGTTGTGAACAAAGGTAACAAAGCCTTGCAAAGGTACTAAAGGCCAAGTTTTAATCCTCTGCACAGTGAAAGATCTGATTTTTTTTTTCTTCAGCTGTCCTAGTCAGTGATACCATTGGTAGGTTTGTTTGTTTTACAAGAGTTGTAGCTTAGAATTACTATAATAACTCTAGAGCCTGGATATAGGATAATCATGGGTAATCAATAGGACAATCACAGGAATAAGATGAAAATGAATTTCAGGTCTTCACTCTTAATTAAACTTCACAAGTGCACAGTTAAGGCTAAGTTATGATACTGCTTAGAAAACAGAAACCTTCAGGAAGTCAAGGTTGTTAAAAGGGTTCTGCTCTGAATCACATTCTATGCAAACCTGCCTGTCTCCATTAACTTTGTCGGTGGTCTTAGCAGATTTGCCTTCTAATTCAAAAATGCAATTTAGATGTCTAAAGTTACACAAGGTGATTATTTCCCTTGCTTCTACTTGTCAATTCCACAGCATTTCCTTCATTTTTTAAGGAAAAAATGTGATAGTAGAGAATGCTGCTACGAAAAGGAAAATGGTTTAGCGCTGTGCTAATTGCCATCTTGATTTGGTTTGGGATTATATTGCACAAAAATAAATGTTCTTTTTTTCCCTACAGTGCAAAAGAAAAAGGTTTATTGTGAGAGAAGAGACCAATCTAGTCAATAAACTACCGTCCATCTGGGTTAAAGGAAGACTCTTTATTCCCAATTCGTTTAAGTATTTCCCAGTGTGTGAGAGATGCTCCCAAATTATTTAAGAAATGTGTACTCCATGAAAATTAAAATCTTGTAGCAACTGAATGGAAAAACATTAGAAACTGGCAATATCAGTAAGCTTATAAAAGTTCACAAGGTGAAAGGCAGATTTTTCATGAAATTTGAATTTTAATTTGTGGAAACAGTAAAATTTATACAACAATATGTTCAGCTCAGACAGCTAATTATTTAAGTCAACATCATAGCCTTTTTTTTTTTCCCCTTTTGGAGAAGGTAAGCAAGCATTTCTTTGTCTTGTTACAGATTTTCACAGAGAAATGTAATGCTTTTGGGACTTCTGTGTCGCTACCAAATTCAACTGGATTTGGCTAATAGATTCAAAAACTATTAGAAAGAACTGGAAAATGAACATGATAATGAGGTATCTTGATAACCTTAGGGAATCAGGCTAAAACCTATGAAATGTTTATGCTTTCAAGTTTAAAGAACAGTGGTGCAGCAGAGTTCTTCAGAGTGCCTCTTTACAGGTGTAAACACCATGGTCTTCTCTTTATCTGGCTTCTCAACAAGTAAATGAAGTATGGATGTAAGGTTCGGCAGCTTCAGCACACAGGACCACATGAAACATCTGGTAAAACATCTTTAATTTCCTAGGAGTGGATCAGCACAAACTTTACAAGTAACATTCAGTATCTTTTTATAAAGTAAAACAGATTTCCACCAGAAGATAAACAACAAAGTATATTATAACCTTAGGAGATTCATCCAGGAAAGCACAAAGAGTAGATGTAGCTCTTGCTGCTGGCCCTATAAAAATGCAGGTACAAGCACCTGAGCTTTGTCTTAATACTCTCAAATAACACTGACTTACATATTTACCTTGCAACTCAGGAAACTGAAATGCACCACCACCTAAGTATAATCTGTGAGAGGTAATTCTCAACAGTCAAACACCAAGTCCAACTCTTAGCTTAAGTCCATTATCTGCAAGGGAAGATTCATTTGGAACTCATATGAATGAATCTGCAATCGGACATCAACACTCCTCTATGGCAGTCTTGCAAAAATTTTACTCCATATCTTCTTTTCATCATCAAGTATCTAATTAAGTTGATGATCTTATTTCTTTTTAAACAACCGTATAATAACTCAAAAGTTGTCCCTGGCTGAAAGAGAATAATTATTTGGTGGATGCCATCTCTTGTCCATTTACTGTTATGCTCCTGAAGAGATTCAGAGGGATAATTTTACTGTACTTCGATCACTCTTTTGAAGCTGTAGGTATTTTTGAACCTCTATCCATCTACAAAACTACTTTTCATTTTTCAAGTTCAGTAGTCCTTCATAAAGGCCATCAACTGCAGAAGGTGGTATCACAAGTATTTGTAAGGATGGCACTTTTTTTTTTTTTGGAACTGCTAAAAATCAGCAGGACTTATCTTAAAGTTCAGTTCCAAGCTCACTTGTTTAGGTTACATGTGCTTGCAAGAAGTCTTCAGTGCAGTCTTAGTATTTTAGTCTTAACTCTGTATTTAAGAACTCATTCCATGAATGTATCATATAAGTTTCTCCTGCTATATTTGAAAATCTAATGATTCTTGTTTTCAGTGTTTCCAATTATAATGAATGCTTTTTTAATTGCACTTTGGCCTGAGTGTTCTTACTCTTATAATGAACTCTTGCATCTTCCACAGAAATGTCTTTCCACTTTGTTAACTGCTCTTCTTGATGAAGTACCTAGGGAATTTCTTGTTGATTAAATTCATTCTTCCTTTATATAGTCTCTTAGATCAGATATCCAAAACAGTAATTAAAGAAAAAAAACTCCTGAAGGAATATTTTAATACTTTTTTCCTACCTGTACAATTCCTTTTGGTGATAGCTATCATTAATTCATGATTATAATTTATGTTCTTCTTTTTACACTATGATTCTGGTAAAATAGTCTTCATATTACTTTGAAATTTAAAGTATCTTCTGACATTTTAATGTTGACAGAACACATTGTCTTTGGTAGTCCTGATTCTTGTTATTTCAAGAATTATTATTTGTCTGTTCCAGAGTTATTATTTGTCTGTTTGTATGTGATCTCAATAAAATTCAGAAAACATGGCAAGTGTATAGTCAATGAATATAAAGATGCTATAATTATGAAATAAATGAGAGTTTAGCAAAGACTCTTGTATTATAATCACAAAAAAGAGAATAGATAGACTGCTTACCTACATCCTGGGCTCACTGCAAAACTCCAGAGGAGGGATCTCCAGAAAGAGATCCTTTCCCACTGGCAGTCAGCTCTTAAATGGGTCTAGGAGAGGTGCAGCCAGGCTCCACCCCTTCCAGCAGCACAGGTGAATTGCCTTCAGCTGTGCTCCGTGGCTGACTCATGGCTCACCTCAGGTGATCCATCAGAGGTTCAGGCCATGATTCAGCAGTTCCCACACAGCAAGTAATGAAGAAGGAATTCTAAATAAATTACCTCTTGGGGATTATGGTAGGGAGACCTTACTAATAAGTTCTCCCTGAAACGTGTGGAAGTGGAGTAGTACAAATTTAATTTATACTGTGTTATTCTTTTTAATTAGGGTAATAGATAAGAAAAATTGAGTTAAAATTAGGTTAAAAAAAAAAAAAAGCTATTTAATTATCTGTAAAAAAAGACAATAATGGTCCAGCAGAATAAGCTTTTCTTAAAATCCTGACCATTCTTCCTAAGCTCTCATATAGAGAATGTCATGGATGTGGCATTCTGTGACTAATAACTCCGTCAGCATTCACTCTCAGCTCTTAGAGTGTTCATTAAGGCTGCTAGAATGTCGGCTTGTTATATCTTTAGGTACGCATTTCTGCAATAAGACCACCTGACCAGGTTTCAACAGGGGCAGAGCTGATTTTCTTCACAGTGTCTGGTGTGATGCTATGTTTTGGTTTTAGAAGAAAAGCAGTGTTGATAACACACTGATGTTTTATCTGTTGCTGAGCAGTACTGTACAGAGCCAACCAAGACTGTTTCAGTTTTCTCAGCTTCTACTGTCCTACCGATGAGAGGCTGGGGGGCACAGGGAGCTGGGAGAGACAGAAACAGGACAACTAACCTGAAACTGCCAAAGAGACATTCCATACCATATGACATCATGCAAAAAAATGTGAAACTTTCTTCATTAACTGCTTCATTAAACTACAACACTATCACAACTTACAAAATATGCATATGTTAAATGTCGAGCAATTTGTGTGTTCAGTGCTTGAACTGGTCTTTCACAGTGTGAAATCCTGCAGATCAGAGCTGTAATATAGAAACATACGTGTAATCTTTGCTGTCCTGGACTTACATTATACTACAGCAACTTTGGACAATAAATTCGAAAGTAAATAATATTAACTTCACCATTCTTCTATTTAAAAAAGTGTGAATGGGATTGGGAAATACGTGCAGTGTCTCAATTTTCTGGGCAAATGCTAATGACACTTCTTCTGTTACTTTTCTTCTAAGTACAAAAACCTCTGCTGAGTTAAAAATTTGTTAGGGAACATGCAAATATTGGAGAAGAGAAAGAACATCAATGTTTATTAATAATGGATGTACTGATAGCTGAGGGCTCAGCAAGAATTTTATGTTATTCAGGTTATTCTGGCAAATTTCAGCAAGCCTGTTTTCCAGAAAATCATCATTCGTAAAAAAACTTCCCGAATATTTTCATTCACAAGTATAATGTTTTGCTTAACTTCTGTTTTCTGCTTTATCATATGTGCTCTGTAAAATCTGAATGTGTGTATTTGTATGTATTTCAATCAAAGTTTTCCTTCCAAGATTGATCCTGCTCATTTTGAGTTTAAATATAAACTAATATAAAATTACTACTTCTAATTAGTAATAAAATCTTCCGAAGTCCAGTCCCATGTTTCAGGACCTCGGAGAGCACCCGCGGTTCTAAAATGAATTTCGGAAATGGGCAAAGCACACAAAGACAAAAAAAGACTACAGTTCTATGAATGATTATATTTTAATCAGATTATTAATAATCTCTGAGGTCTTCAAATATTTTGAGTTCTGCCTCTTGAAAGAGAAGCTGTTAAATTACCTACTTTGGGAATATCATACATGACATCATATTTTGCACATTCAAAACGATCTGCTGATTTCAGCAATTAAAACAAACTTGAAATAATTTCCTCACAATAAGAATTTATTTGTACTTCCCAGTTTGATATGAAGACCACTGGATCTTACATGGTCCAATTGTGAAATAAATATAGGACCAAATTAATTTTGATAAAATTACAGTATTGATTTTGCAGGAAGATTTTATTTCTGTAAAGGAAATGTATTCAGTAAAAAAATAAATCATCAGGCCTGCCTATTGAGGCAGATCTGTGCTCATTTGGTCTTCATTTCAAAAATGGCCAAGAAGACATCTGAATTTATATATGCACACTTTTTTACATCTATTGCAGTCTGTCTTTTCATTCTTATGTAAAACCACTTTACTAAATGAACATTTAACAGAAAAATTTTCTGAAAACATTAGCTGGAGTCTAGAATTTTCTGTTTGCTTCAACTATTGTAAAACTTGTTGCAGGCTGAAAATAGGCTGGTAGAGCATAAAAGCAGCAGCACTCACTCTACAGCTAATAGGTAAAACTTCTTGTTTTGGTACTTTCTCAGCTGTCTGAAGAATGTCATCAGTGTCTTCTTTAGTTGTTTAGTACCATTTAAGATGCCATAAGATTTTTGAGGTTGACACAGAGCCTGAAGGACACCTGTACTTTTCTGAAGTAGCAGCATGCTAGGGCATCCCAAATAGCATAGGTTTCTATGGTATCTGTATAATTACACTTTTACATTACATAATTACAATAATTACATGTTCACACGAAACAGATAATCTTTTCTGGAAATGATAGGGAAAAATATATTTGTAAACAATCAGAGAACTATGGTACTTAGACCATGTGTTACAACTCCTTTAAAGCTTGTAAACACGTAGTTACAAGTCACAGGTTTTTTTTCAGATTACTGCAATTGTGGTAGATACAACATATCTAATCCATATCTGAATACAGTGTCTTATTTTCTTCTCAATATTTCCTTCCTTCCTTCCTTCCTTCCTTCCTTCCTTCCTTCCTTCCTTC